ATGATCACGTTCAAACCCAGGTTTGATTTTGGGTTCTGTGTGTTTGCTTGTGACAATAACACTGACACCATGTGACTCAGCCGGTCGCTCCGCCTCCTGCGCCAGGACCACCTGACCTGGGACTGACCTGCCCGTCATGCAGGATCACGACCCTGCTTGGATTCACTTCTTACAACCGTTTGCTGTGTCGTCGTGCGTGACGACCACAGGCTGCTCTGTTTGCTCACAGACTGTCTTCCTCGTCTGCTTCTGCCTGCTGAGCTCAATTACTGCAAACATCCCTCTGAATGCAGGTGTGGAAGAGGAGAGCGAAAGATGGCAACACAGCGGCCTGGAGGCGAGGCCTGCAGGAGGTGGGAAGGTCTGGCATCGGAGCGCCATCGCCAGCAGCAACACAGTCAGACATGAAAACTGAACATGAGCTGCCCACAGAGACGAGACGCTTCCAGACTCTCAGAAACATTTAAACGGTGTCTGACAGAGGACGTGTTCACGTGTTAACCCACAGCCCCACCCGCTACACTCACTCTGCATTCACATGTGGCGCATGGGTCCTTTTTCCACCGCTCGCCGTCCGCTCGCTCGCGGCCCTCGCTGTCAGTGCAGTCAGTGGTGCTCAAACGGGCTTCAAGTCTTTTAATCTGCAGAAACATGAGAACGACACATTTTAAAAGTCAGACGCACACCTCACCTCCCCAAACACACCGACACCTGCAGCTGACCAGAGGGCGGAGCCAGCACGCCGACCCCTGTGGCGTGCTGCAACTGTGCTCTGAGCAGCGAGACATGGCAACGTTTTTAAGACGGTTAGAAGTTTCAGACACTTTGATCACAAACGTCACAATCTGGATTTAAAGGACAAAGAACAGCTGCAAACATCTGTCTGTGGATGCAGACACACCTGCTTCCGTAAGCTGGTGATGGTCTTCTGCATGTCGGAGACAAAATCCTGGAAGTCGTTGATGGAGGGCTCAGTGCTCTTCCTGGAAGTCGCAGAGACATTTCCCAGACTGCCCGGGGTTTCCTCCACTGAGCTGCACACACACACAGACTGAAGATGTTAACAGTTAACAGTTTATAGGACA